CGTCCATCATTCAGATGTGGTGGCTTTCTGATGGAAAAGACAAGGTTACGGCCTTGGGATAACAGCACTGTTTATTTCCAAAGTTATACCAAGAACTGCACAGAGAAAAAAAAAATCTTCCCCTTTTTCAGTGCTGCTTTCCAAAAGTGGACAAACTTTTTTAGCTCTAAGGTGCTACTGCACTCCCCACCTTCCCCAACATCTTACATCCCTATGCATTTAATGTTTATTAAGTAGCTGCTAAATCCCAAAAGATAGGACTATTTCCTCTTTTCCTTTTGCCACCCTCCTTTCAAGCAGGGATATTGAGTTTCAAGCCCAGAGCACATTGGTTTCAAAACATCCATTCTCATTGGCAGTGTCATGAATGACACTGGTAGAGATGTGAACCACTGCTCCAAGGGACCTGCAGAAGCATTCGGTCTACCCTGTGCCTCTTATTCCCTCAGTTCCCTGAGAGAAGTGATAGAAGTCCCATTGCTTGCAGCATTGAAAAGCTGAACTGAAGAAAGAAATTAGGAACCAAAGAGAAAGAAGAATACAATCTTACAGCTTTCTCCAGGGGCTGAGCTGAACTGTTAGGCTGGTTTCATCTTGATGTCTAAAGACAATTTCTCACACTCTGAATCCAACAGCTCTTTTCCAGCTACAGGAATGACCACCTTTCCTCCTGTCTTCTGTTAAGCCTTCAATTTTAACATCTCTCCAAGAAGTAGGGAGGCAAAAGAAAACTAACCATCGCTTCCTCGCACTGCCAGGAGTTCTCTATGGGAACTGATCTCCCACCTGACACAGGCGACTGATCCTACAACTGAAAACTTGAGCAGCTGCTCTGAGGAGATGTTTAACTGCTGGACTATTGGCTTCTTAGGACAAGACTCCAGCAGGGAAGGACTCAAATACCTCTAAAGAAAATCATAGCTCTGGGAGGTCCGAATATTTTCTCACATACTTTCCCTCACTCTCTGCTGGTTTCCAACCTCCCTGGTCTTTGCTGCTTGATATTTAGATAACTGAGCTGCTGTATTCACTCTCTTCAGGGCGCAAAGGGCTGGTGAAGCTGTTTGATTTTGATGTGGTAGGTTAGATAAGATTTCTCCATCCACCCTCTTCTTTTTCTCCCTGTGGCTCCTGTCCTTGTAGTTCTCAGGACTTGACTAGAAGAGTTTTTAAATGAAGTGAAAGTCTTAATGTGAGGTGAATCCCATGACCACAAACAGTTTGGACTTCAAACAGTGAGAAAATTGGCGCCGAATGATTCCGCACACAAGGCAGAAAACTTTCATTTCCTGCAGGCAGGATGGAATTGACTGTTATATTAAGACTTCAGAAGGAGCACTGCCCCGGAGTAATTTCACTGCTGTCAGGCAATGTTGACATCTAGATTAACCTCTGTGCAGTGAATTTTACAGCAAAGCTCATTGTAATGCATGTGGGGTATCTCCTGTAAATCCCCGCTGAAGCCCATAGTGTCCCACCCTTCTGCACAGGAGAAGGGTCGGGGAGCAGCCGCTATCATTTTTGACCCCGGCAGAGCGTGACTCTAACCTCATCCAGGCCATTTCTGCTGAAACTGATTTTCTATCCTAAGTGACAGTAGCTCCAACCTGTGTTTTTTTAACTCCCTGAAGAAGTTTATAACACTAGAGACACAGAATCTTTCCTGGTCACAAACAGCTTCTTTCATGTCTCTACCCAGCAACACAGTCATAATTAAAAGGCAGCTTTTAACCAGTGACAAATAGCTGCTCACATTGATTGACTCCAAAACATGCCATTCCCAAAGCCAGGGCATGGACTGGGCTTGATCCAGGCCTGAATGACACACAACCTTCCAGCTGATAGGAAAAGACTGCATCCAATCCTACCCACCATCCTGCAGGTGCCCTCTGTCTGGAAAACCAAAGCTGCATGACTTAAAGCAGTTCACATAGCTCATTCAGTGCAAGTCAGAGAACACTGCAAAAGAAGTCTCCTGGCTCCTGAACTTGCTGCTCCAGCAGTTAAGCTGGTTGTGCAGGCCAGGCCGAAAGCCCTCTGTCCTTTGCCATAACAGTGGACTGAGCAGCAACAACTCCCAGGCTAAACAGCAGCTTCTCCCTTTGCGAATAGAGCCCATTTTGTCTATGTACCCTAGATGCACCTCTGAGAGGCACTTCTGTAGGAAAAAAAAGTAATAACATTGACAATACTGGAAAATGAAGGGAAAGAAACTAGTTATTTTATACTACATATATTTTTTGCCAAGTCTTATTCACGCACTTATCTTCAAACTTGAACACTTCTCTACAGTCTTCTGCAGAAGGTTCTAGGCAAGAGACAGGCTATAGTACTTGTAAAAATCCCTTTCAGAGCCCACCCCTGCTCTCACCAACAGCTCCCAGCAATAGGAGCTAGGTCTGTCACAAACATAACACTACTGTTTGTGAAAGACCTTGGATAGTCTAAGAAGAGGTGACATGCCCATAGCTCCCCTCATCTTCAATGCCCTTGGCATTTCCGAAAACAGACCCACAAGGAAGATTGCTTCAAACTAACACTTACCATTTCCAATCAGAATACAGCTGAAAAGGCTATCCAAGGTTGTCAAGAAGGTCAAGCTGTTGTTTTAGACTAGAGAAGGAATTTGATGGACCAATTTAACCGCCACAGCACATCAAAACCTGGTGGCTTCATTTAAAAAGTAATCAGTATTGTATTTCGCTTTAGACATCCGTGCATTAGTGTTCTGCAAATATGATTTCCTCTTTGTTTGCATTATTGATGCCATAAAATGTCAGACACATTAAAAAAAAAAAAAAAAGGCCAACCTTTGGGGTTTGGAATGATTTTGGCTGAATTGCATTTGGGTTACTTTTCTTTTTATTTCCCATGATAGTGATGCACTGTTACTCATTCTGCTATTGCTTTACAAAGAGGTCTCTGTCAGTGTATTTATTCAGGCAACCATATTTCAGGAAACACATAACCTTGATATTCTCTTATACACTGAATGTGAAAGTGTGGAGGGGGAAAGGGAAGGGGGTGCTTTTTCCAAGACCCTTCTTGTGCAATGCTGTGTGAGACATGTCTGCTTAGGTGGCTGGTTTGATTTCATCTCAAGAACTGACTTTTGCGATCAGATTGTGAGGCCTCTGGTTTTGCCCTTTGCAGAATCTCAGCCATCTGCTTTCACCATGCGGCAGCCTTCTGCTGTCCACAGTCTATGGGGCTGTCTATGCCCCAAAGATTACCCAGTGCTCGAGTCTCAGACATGCCACAGAGAGTCTTAGCTCCTTCCAGTCTTGGAGCAGCAGCAAGTTTGCTGATTGGTTTAGTCCCTACAGTCCTTCCTGCCCCATCACTGGTTATTCCCAAGGCAATAACTCATACCTGCTCCAAGCTCTTTCTCCCATCCCCTTAAAGAGCACCGGCCTTGGAAGACACATGCCTTCTGCCTCCCCTTGCTGTGACAAATGCAGATCCATGGTAGAGCAGGGACTCTCTGCTCATGCTTACAGCTTTCCTATGTACCTTTAGGAGGACTGTTCTGCTTGAAGTCTCAAATATGCCCTCTCCAAGTTTTATGCCAGCTATATTTTCTTTCTTTTGGCAAAGAATTCCAATAGGTAGAGGGAAAGACTGCCAGTCTGTCCTGTTAATTTGTTTCTACTCTGATGCATTCACCAGTGAGTTCAGAACTGTGGTTTGTGTGGCTCCCTCATCTACTTGCATAAAGCCTGAATAAGGGTATGGCTGTCTTTAAGGTAATAGTGGAAAAATAATAATAAAAAATAATAAAAAAAGAATGTCCTTTATGTGGGGATTTTCACTAGTCTAAAATTTCTCTTCAGCTTTTCCTTCCACTGACAGCAAGACTTAAGAGAGCAGAGGGAAAGGGATACAGTGGAGGAGTCTAAAGAACAGGCACAGTTGGGAGTCAGACTGTAAAGCCATCTGTTCTCCTGCTAGGTCCTTCCCCGCTTCACACAGCAAGTCCCCAGCTTTTCATCAGCAGGTTTCCGCCCATCTCTCACATTCTTCCAGTTTTGATGGTCTTCACATGACCTTCAATCTCCTCATTTTCACAGCTCCATCTCAGGGGTATCGGAACAGCCCAAACAGTAGAGAGCAGGGCTAAAGGGGTATGTAATTCATGTCTGTCTTCCTGCTTTTCATCAGGGGCAAAGACAGTGAAAGTGACAGAAAAGGAAACTTATTTTCCCCAACAGGAGCAATGTAATTTCTTTTTAAACTCAGTTTTTTAAGATGCTATGAACACTACCTATAAATATGTTCTGAAGTGTTGAATGAGCAGAAGGAGTCTATTTGATTTTGTTTTTATGCCTGTAATTTCTCTCACCAAGAATTCAACTGTTACTCAGCCCCCAGCAGGTTGCTCTGATTGCTGGAGACACAGTTGGGATTGATTCCATCTGGGATCTGTTCTAGTCCAGCCTCATTCTTATATAGCTAGATTGAGACAATAGAAATAATCAGCAAGGGACTGAGCTGTTCCTATGTAACTAAACCATCTTGTGTAATGCTAGCTAAAATTTGAAGGCATTGAACATCCACAACTTTGTCTGAAGTCAGTAAAGACTGGGTGCTAAGAGGCACTAAGGATCACTACATCATTAGGGATGGAGCGGCAGGAGAGAGGAAAAGAAATTCTACAGACTGGAGAAAAAAAAAAAAACAGTGGGTAGTTTGTAAGGCAAGAAATCCACGCTTGTATCAGAGAAAAGACTCAGCGTATTCACCCTGGCAACAGAGAATATTGACCATCAAGATGGGAGATGCTGTCTGTCCTACAAACCTCCCTCACTTTTAATTTCCTTTCTCTTCTTCTTCTGCTAATATAGAGCAAATCCCATCTTAAAGCTTCCTTGAAATCTGAAATTAAGGTAAGAGGCAGATTTGGAATGGGGAGAGAGACAGAACATATCCCTTTGTGTAATGTATCAGCTTTGTTGCTCAGCACCTTTTCAGTAGCAAGTATCTTGAGTGCACATGCTTTTATGCCTCTGCTCACACGACTTCAGGCAGTTCAACTCCCCTCCATCAAGGCTAAGAGGGAAAAACAAACCCAACAAGCAGCAAGCATGAGGCTTTAGCAGACCCTGCCCCTCTGAACCCTCACCCCATGCATCAGAGCGCCAGGACAGGCTCAGGGAGCTGCTAAGGGACACGGGGCAGGAGCTGCTGTCGCTGCCCTGTCCCCACCGACCCTCCTGCAGCAGAGACCCCCCCAGGGCTGCGGGCGGCGCCTTCAGCACCGCGGACAGCGGCCACGTCCCCAGCTCCATCCCGGGGGCGCCAAGGGCCCTTCCTCATGGGAGCAGCCAACACGGAACATCCCCTCGCGGCTGCGTTTGATTTGTTTTTCCTTTGCAAACCTGAGCTTTTATCATCTCTTTCCAAGTGGTGGAGGCAGGATGTCTTAAAATGCAGTGTGACCAAGGCAGAACCCAAGAGAGGAAATCCCCCTCCAGGATTAAATTCTCTGTCCTACTCCGTTCCACACCAGTGTTCCACCTCTCAAGGCTTCACCTCTTATTTGGCCCGTGAAATGGCTCCTGTCTTCTACAGTCAGATCTATGGGAACAGTTTGACAGATGGAGAAATATTGTATCTTTAGCACTTGAGGAGCAATGCCTTTATTGGAATGTCAGGATCATCTCATTCAGCTTTGACCAGCAACTGAAGTTAGTGGCGGTAAAGGACAAACAGACAAATCGTGGAAGATCCAAAAGAAGAGACATATAAAATGAGACTATGGCCCCTAAAAGACTTTTCAACTCCAATCATTAAAAAAGTCACATTGCTAAAAATTCTGCCATATCACCCTGTAACGGGAATTGCCAGAAAAGATTTAGCCAGAAATGAAGATCTATGCCTTCAGGACACTCGAAGAGCTGGTGGCAACAATCAAGACTTCAGATGGAAAAGCAGTCATAGCTCATGTACGGGTGCTTAGTCAGACTACACACACTGGATTTTGTCCTGTTTTTCTAAACAAGACTAAGGACAATACACCCCAAAACTACCTGAATACACCCTGAACTGTATCTGCTTGGTGAGTAGATGTAAGAAATGAGAAGCATGTCCAAGTTATGCTAGTGGCAGAGCAGCAGTGTTAATGCACCCTGGCAGGGGTAGCAGAGCATTACAGCTGCTGAGTGTCCACCTCTGGTATCTATTTACAATTCTGCTAACCCAGGGCTTTTTTGGGGCTGACTTGGAGCTCTGCTGTCTGCATTGTTAGAGACCTCACCTTCCCATCTCCAACCAGCTTGGACTCCATTTCATGCAGTAAGTATGAAGTGTCGTCACTGCCCTGGATCTGTTTATCTGAATACAGAAGAACATCTTGTCACGACAACAAAAAGAGTAGCTTTAAACAATATAGCATACTCAGAGCATTCTCAGCCTCACAACATACAAAAGCCTTCTCATCACACTCCAAAACCTCAGCCCTGCTCTAAGGCTGACATGGCTGTTTATGTTCTAACAAACTTGGAAAAATCAGCCCTGCCCTCTGCCTCCCCTCATTCCCTAGCTGTTCCTATACCCTTAATTATTATACTTTTATAGCAATATTGCATTACTCTTGGGCCTCAGTTGCATCTGAACCAAATGCTAATAAGTAGGGTATGTGGCCAAGCTCAGAAGCAAGCCATGATCTATCCTTATCTGTTGGGCAGGGACAGGCAAGCAGAAAGGACAAGTAGGAGGACAGTCCCTCTTCCTTGGCAGTTATTATTTGACATCTGCTTTGATTTCTGTCAGCTGCTACTATGGGGCATCCAGACAGAATCTGAGACCATGAGGGCTGCGAAGTATCCGAGACACAGGACCTCAGAAATTGTGAGCAACAGCACTGCAAATGATGAGTTGAGGCAAGATCACAGATTTCTGATGCTTAGAAGCAGTTGGAAGTCAGAAGGGATGAGCTCAGAGAAGATGGTAAGAATGATACAGTACGAAGCTCAGACTAAATAGCCCTAAAGGAAGGGAGCAAGGAAGCTGGCTGGGGCAAAGGAAGAGGAAAGCAATGGGCAAGATCTCAATTCCCAGTGATGAGGGGCTAATCAGGAGCATGCTGAAAGTCAGAGGTGAGCTGCAAAGATGGAAAAGAGAGTCCCAGGCAGGGAAGAAGGATGAAGTCAGGGAAGAGGGATGAATGTGAAGCAGCAGGAAGTACAGAATGATATGCCCTTATTTGAAGGAGTCTTGGAGATTTCTCCAAACCTTCTGCCTTGCTGGACTTCTCCAAGGCCCTCCCTCTCTCTGCTTCAAGCCCTTACAAACATCACAATCTTCCGTGGATACACTCTGCTCTCTTATGACTCTGGCTTGGATAGAAGCAGCCTGGCTTGCTTTAGTCTCCCTCACACCCCCTCCATGGCCCCCAGAACCAGCCAACTCCTTCCTTTTTTTTTTTTTTTTTTTTTTTTTTTTTTTAAGAAGTGTCCTTTAAAATTTCAGCTAAACTGGGAGGCAATTTCTTGCATGAGAGCTTCATATAGATAGGCTTAAAGCAGAACAAAAATAAATAAATACACTGAATAATCTCCCCTCCCCCGCTTTGTGCTAACAAAGTGCTATTTTACATATGTTATTTTGAGAGAAAAATGAAGGATTTATGTGCAGGCAAATGATTGACATTGATTTAGCTTTCAACAAGCATTACAGATCCCTCTGCCTCTTCTGGTCAGGCAAGAAGACAAGGTTTCCTCAGGTGAAGGATACAGAGTTTCAGCAGCTTGAGGACGTTATAGACAGGGGAGGCAGTGCAACCACTGCCGTTTCCCCTGCTGACACTCTTGCTGTTAGCAGCCATGAACACAAAACATCCCCCCTCCTCCAGAAGAGGAGTTAATTTTTTTTTTAGCAGTCTTTTCTGCCCAGTGCACCCATCGGTGCATTTGCCTAGTTTGGGGCATCCTTTGCATCCTATGTGCCATTTCACTGGTTCTCAACCTTTTGCAGCCTGCAGCCTCCTTTCCTCCAAACCAAGACTCACGCTTCTGCCCTGCCAGGAACAAGCCAGGTTTTGTGCCAAGCAAGAGCCTGGAGGAAAGAAGGTAGTTGGGGTTTCTGCCTCCCCACCCCATCTCTACTGGCTCTAGCTCAGTGTGAGAACCCTGGTCTGGATTCCTGGCCAAGGTAGTGCCCCTACCTATCACATCATGGGTACTGAGCGTCCTGCTGTGTACCCATAGCTGATACAGTGTTAGTCAGATTTACAAGACTTTTTAAATTAAGGATTCGCAGTGAGGTCAAGGGACCTTTTAAAGTGCTGAAGTATTTACTTTTCCTAGACCTTCCCCTTCCCTCCCTTCCTGCTTTATCCCTTCCTCCCTCCCCAGCCTTGAAATGAAACAGAAAATTATTTTTTTAAAACTGTGTCAATAATTTATGTTTAGTATAAAGGATGATTTAATGGCATCACCAAAGGTCATTTTTTTCATCTCCACATTACTGCCCCAGCAGCCACACGTCCCCTCATCCCCATTGCTCCTCTGCCCTCGCTTTTGTTCACCTCATGCATCCCACCACTACCAACACCTATCACACACCACAGACATGCTTCAGGTTCAGCCAAACCACCATTAGAGAACAGCGATTTCAAACTGAAACCTCCACTCCAGGCCCACCACAAACTGGAACCATTTCCACATTTAAAACAGTCAGCTGATGCAAATGAAAGGCAGACTCATTTCTTCAATTATGTACTTTTTTTTAAGAAGCCTTTTATACCTATGTGTGCGCACATGTACACAGCTGTATCTGTGTGCACAGTTGCACACAGACATCTCAAATATAAATATATTGTATGTTAGAGCTGTAAATACTCCTTGGTCATGTGTCTGTCTTCTTCAAAGTATCATATCTTCAGTGTTACGTTAATAATTCCATTTATTGATTGATGAAACTGTGTGTAGACCTCTACCCCTCAACATAGTTTATGTAGCTCTCTTCTCAAATAAAGTACAAAACTACCACTACCTAGTCCTCCTCTCCTCTTTATTTCATGGTTGTGTTGAAAGTTAATGAACAATTTCCAGACATGCAAAAAAATCTCCAAGTGATACTTTAGAGCTCAGGTACAGATGACCATACCAGTAAGTATAATGTTAATACTGAACTGTAGGCAAAACATAGACCCAAGTGCAAGAAATTAGGGTGTCACTATAGATGATGATACTTTCTTCCTACTTACCTCTGGATGCAGCCTTCACCAAGCAGAGCTCACTCCATCCTGGTCCATGCTAGTCCTCCCCTCCGGCAGTGGTCTCCACATGGCTGCACCAAGCAACCCTCCCACAGTGCAAAAAGCCCTCATTGGTTAGGAGGATTCAGCAGCTTCCCTGTTGTGTTGCCAGTTTGTTGTTGTTGAGGAGTTCAACACCTAAACTCAACCTGCTGAATAAATCTTGGTGTCGGAAAGAAGATTCAAAAATATGGCAAAGTCCTTCACTGTCACTCTCTTTGCCTCAACTTTTGACACTTTGTTTTCATACTAAAATCACCAGCGCCAAGAGATATTTACCATTGCAAGCAGAAAAAAATGCCTTTGCAGAAATACACTTACTGGGCAAAACTATAAAGGTGATTTGTGAAGTAACAGTTTATTGAAGCTGACATCACACTTGAGCTGCCAGGGTTTGACTGACAATTTCTATTTATTTGTATCCTGCTATACAATGTCTGCCTTAATGTTATAAATTTTTCTGATTGGAATTTCAGTGTCTGCATGGATATTTATTGATCATAAAATAATATGCACAATCTGTTAAACTCAAGGCAGGAAGAATGGATGCCAAGAAAAACACTTGACAGGAGCTGGGTACCGGTGCCCAGGTGACAGAAGATGCTCAGATTCTATTTTCGTGGCCGTATGTTTTCCTGAGCGCCAACCTTGAGCTGCTTTTCTGCCATTTCCTGACGTAACAGGGGAGAATAATGGTCTGTCAGTGTTGGGTTTCATCAGCAGCTCCATATGGACCCTGCAACATGCCTCATTTGCAGTTCCTCACCATTGAGAATTCCCACCTTCACAATGAAACCTGGTGTTTTCACAACTGCTCACTAAGATGGCCCATGAGGGAAGCATTTGGCTCTTTCTGCAGCAGTCAGACCACTTTCCTTTTTTCCTTTTGGCAGCAAAAACAGAAGTGTAAAATATCTGCCCACTAGAGAAAAAAATCATGAAACTTAGCCCCAGCTGGGAATTTCCATATCAGCTGGTGAAGAGAGTCTCTTATTTCATTCACAGCTTCAACTCTGCAGCTTTTCAATATCTCAAATGGATTATGTCCCCCGGGTTTGGACTTTCTTGGTGTTTTTTTCCTCCTTTTAACTGTTCTGCTGCGGAAGACTTGCTTCCCTACGGAAATAGGGGCCGGCATTCTTCTCCAACACCATGCACAAGTGTACCTGTCCTCCTCTGCACTCTTGGGCATACCCAAAGCCCTTCTTTCTTGCACTCTTCTGAAAACACAGACTCTTCAACCCAGCAGAGCCAGCCATCCCTCCATTCCTCCTTCACACCAAGAACACAAACCCACACAAAACCCCCTTTCCTTAAGCCACCCATACAAAAAGTCTCCAAATACACCGTGCAAACACCGTATATGCACTACAGCCCTCCTCCTCTCATGCTCCAGGAGCCCACGCTCAGCCTGCTCTTTGCCCATAAACACTGCACTAGCTACTAGGTCCTGCTGCTTTCCAAGGACCAAGCTGCCTCCCCAACCTTCATCAAACATCTTCCTTTCCCTGCACCCAAACAACAAACCAGAGGCTGCTTCAGCCTCATTAACTCTGGCCAGGTGACCTGATGGACAGAGTCCCCGTCATTATTGATTTAAGGCCGTTCTTGAAAAATGCCTTTGGAAATTCATTAAAAATACAATAAAGAGGAGGAAAAGAGAACACACACACATACACTCATCCCAGGGAACCAGGTTCCCTGGGAATTGTCCTGCTCTGCTCCCTTCCTATGCCCCTGATATTTGCCTTTGCCTAGCCAAGAGGATGTGATTACAGCACTCAGCAGCTAGTGGGGTTATAAACAAAGACATATCAAAATAAAGAGTGGCAGAAGCTGCATTAAACTGGGTTGCCCGTCTCCTGGCTTCCTTCCAGGCTGGAGGACAAGTCTTGTGGGCAGACAGGAGGGAAGCACCAGATCTCACCAAGGATCTGTGCCCCGCTCCTGCCACAGCCACTCCGAATAGGCTCAGAGGGCACAATAACCTTTCCAAGCTCCATAACCCTCCTTTACCCCTTAGAAAGCAGGAAAGGCAGGCAGCCACCTCCATCCCCTTTGGAAAGATGGAAGAACAAGGCCCTAGCTTCTCCCCACCTTGCAGAGAGGGATGGATGAAAGATTAACAGCACAACGTGTTCACAAGGTAAGAGCACAAGGCAGGAGCGTGGGA